CTGTACTGCAGCTACTGCACCAACACGTACGCGAGAAATTGATGACCCCTTTGCTGCTATTGTACAAGATTTTGACGGTTTCGCTTGTCGTTCAAGCGGCATCCGGCTCTTTTGGAAATTTCCTGTACTGGTTCGCTAGCAAGAGGGATGACACTTTTGGCAAACTCTTCAGCTATATCGGTACCCATAATACACTTGTGATTTGGAACCGCTGCAGCCGCTTACAATCATCTATACTGTTCACTGCTCCTTTACTTGTAGGGACATTTTTTTTATTCAAGCCTAAATTGCCGACTCGTAACTATTGATATTTTTTATATAGTTTTCTGCGCTAGTAGCTATCTATGCTGCTTTCACACTAGCGAAGACTTCCATCTGGAAAATCCTGCAGCACTCTGGAAGTTTGGAGCTGATCTGAGATTCCGTATGTTTCTGTGTCGTTCGTCCTCCTTAGACGTAGCTTGAAATCATCTTTCCCAGATAAGGTGTGGGGGTGCATAGTCTATCCAGCTGTGCCCGAAGGAGGAGCTCGGTTTAGCGGTTTAAAGCGCCAATTATTTATATGCTTTAGCGGTCCGCTTACATGTACCAGCACATCTGTGTACTAAGTTTGGTTACGTTGAGAAAAACATATTGCTCTACTCTAGGCATTCCCGTTCGTCTTTACATGAGTGCCTCCGTCTCCGTCGTTTTTAAGTTACCTGAAAGAAATTCGGTATGTAGAAAGATATTCTCATTTTATTATTTACTCGTATTTGTCCGAATCGACGCAATCGGAGAACTTTAATATACGACTCCTAAGCCAATGATTCTTCGGATATATGATATTTAAGCTTAATTATTCGTGATAGAAAGACATCGATGAAACCGAAGACCGCACTTTTATAAATTTATGTTTAGGGTTAGAATACTGGGACCAGAAGGAGCGCTACACTATGCTTAAATACACCTCGAATATGACCACTTTGTTAATCGAAATCTGTGCAGCGTATAGGAGATGTATATCTTGAGTCTTAAATGGACAAGGTCCATGCAAGATTTTGCTGTGAATGGTTCTTAGGCATTGGTTCCCTTTGAACTTTGTTAATTTTTGACATATTTTCAAAGAGGTTTGTGGTGAGTTCAGGACATTTTCTGTTCACTCTAGCACATAGCCAAGCTATTGCTTCTTGGAAGACTCTTACGATCCACCCTCACAGATATCATAATCGTCTTTGATGAATATCAGCGTTGGATGTTGATTTTGAGTTCTCATTTTGTATGGTCCCTGATCAGCTTCAGACTACGTCATGGATTTGATTTTTTATAGGAGGTTTTGGCCACGATGAAGCAAAGTTTGGCATTGATAGTGTTGTTGCAAGCACTATGGTTGTGTAGAATCAAAGAAGAGAAGAGAGCTTCCTGATATATAATAAACAACACCAGTTTGCAATTTTTTTTTTATTCATTCAAAATTCAAATCTTTGATTGATTCCAAGAGCCACAATTGGATTGATTCTTCGTTAAATTTTCGTTATAAGTTTAATTAACAGCATTCTACTAACAAACTTGATATGGCTCCGTGTGACTTCTGACTATTCAAAAAGTTCAATAAACTGCTCCGGGGAGATCATGTTAAGTCGATTAAAGAGACTCAAGGCAAATTAGCTAATTATGTAAATAATTATGGACGTCGTCAACTTGGCTACAACGCTTGACATGAAAAGCATTCACGTAGTTAACCGAGACAGCAACCCAAAAAGGGCACACCTGAGATATGAACGGGTCTAGGTGGGCAATATTTTCGACATTCGTCCCAGAACTCCAAGTCTTCTAGAGTACTTATATGTGAGACATTTAAGAGCTGAATAAAACTACGGCCACGTATGTATGATGAAAGACCAAATAAGCTTTGCTTTAAGCCCTAGAAGTGCTACAAAGTTTCTAATAGATTGGCGTAAGAATGTTTATCCCCATCCCCTTCTTTCTACTTCTCTGGTTAAATTTTTTTTCGAAATCCCTGGGGAATCGATGCCAAAATATACCGCTTCCGATACTAATTATTTGAAGTAGTTGAAAATTTGTTGTTGTTGTTGTTTCTGTTACAGCGGCTATCCAACACGCTTAGGAGCAGGGGAGGCTAGTCTAAGTCCTCCATCTAATGGGCGATTCAGGAAACGAGCTGTAGTTGGTTAGCTTGTCTCATTGCATGTAGGACATACGTTGAGTATGCTGAGGTCAAGGTCGATAAGCAGCTCTTCGTTTTGTCAGTATTACTTGGGTCTCTCGATGAAGTTTGAACTCTTCGTCTGCAATGGGTTGTACTTGGAATGTCGTTCACTGGAAGAGAATCCAAGAAGGTGTTGATGGTATCTCGGTGAATTGCATTTAAAGCCTGTCGGTGCGCCAATCTTATAAAGGGGGATTTTTTAGCTATCATCTTTTTGGCAACAGTGGTTTAAACAGCTGACGCACGTTTCAAGTTTGTATCATTGTCAAACATCTTCAGTTTGCTCTTTAATTTAACCAGGAATCGCCTTACGAATGAGCAACGCTTGCAAATTATTGAATTTTATTATCAAAATGTGTACTCTGTTAAGAAAGTTCATCGCGCGATTCTTCTTCGCGCACATAGAAGCCCATTTTTGCCTTAATGGGTGCGTAAATAAGCATATTTGTCGATTTTGCAGTGAAGATCAGCCAGAAGCATTGCAATAGCTACCAATGCATCCAGGAAAAGTCACGGTTTGGTGCGGTTTATGGGCTGGTGGAATCATTGGGACGTACCTTCTTCAGAGATGATGCGAATCGTAATGTAAATACGAATGGTGAGCGCTACTGTGAGATGATACCACTTTTTTTTTGCCCCAAATGCAAAAGCCTCAGCACGCGTAACGATGGACTTAGTGGGAGGCGAATTCGGTGACCGGTCAATTGGTCGCTGTGCTTCGCATTGGAGCACAACAATGAAGCATTTATTCGTGAGATACCGGCGAAAATGTTGGAAAGAGTACTCCAAAATTGGACTAAACGGATGGAATATTTGAGGCGCAGTCACGGTCAATATTTGCATGAAATAATCTTCATGCATTAAATTATATGGACCATATTATCGATTCCACCACGATCCACGGCGCTGTTCTGGCATGACATGCTTGTAGCTTCATCATCTGCGCTTCGCTGATTTTCGGCGGCCAATCTTCATGTTTGTTGCAAGCAACTTTTTTTTTGTCTTTTCCCTAGGTGTTGCCGACTAACGATTTGAGGTATTTGTCGCGGCTCTGTACATTCGTAGCAAAAGAAGTCTCATGTGGAGTGAGGCAATACAGTCTGCTGAATGTGATTTCCAGCGACTTTGGGGCCATCGAATTTCACATCGAGCTCGAGCCGATATTCCTGCGTTCAGCTGATGAAAAAAATGGGCGCGGATTTCACCAGACGCCCTCTGGTGGGGGGAGCGAGTTTCGATATGAAGAAATTTAACAGAAGCGGGGAGAGGATAAATACTGTGGAAGCCCTTATTTGACCGCGACTGTCGATCACCCCGGTATTCGATAGTTTACCTCTTTAACCTCGGCGGTAATCCGATAGTAGCACAGAATGTTTGACGATGTCAAAGGCTTTTGACAGATTCTGTGTTGCTAGGACGGTTCGCGCGCCAAGTTGGGCTTGGTTAAGGCCACTGACTATCTAGATGTTTCGGGTATTAAAAGCAGTTGTGGTTGTAGTGTGCGAAAGGCGTGAGCTGAAAGGCATCAATTGGCTTTGCTAGGCGGTGAAGTAAAAATATCGACTGATATGGTTTCCCCGGCTTTAGTAGTGACATCACTCGAACCATTTTCCACATATTGGGTATTTTTTAGGGTGGTCAAAGGCAGATTGACAACCTTGGTGTGGTAGTCTGATCAAGCTGTGCCCACGTGGTTTAGAATCAACGTGGTTCCCTCTTTTGCCGCAGGCGATACATTTCGATGATTTTGCCTTCCCGAGATATTCCCCAGAACATTTTTCCTGTGGAAAACAGGCGCTGCGCTTGTGATTAGCGTTATTAAAAAAATTAGGCTGTCTTTCTTTACATGCCACCATGCTGAGGATCATGAGCTCGACACCTGACCTGACCAAAATCCAAATAATAAAATAAATTGAAGCACGAGCCAAAAGCCTCTGCGGTGATTATAAATCACCAAATTATTAATATTATATTTTATATACACACATACATACAATTTACATAATGTTTTGTTGCTGCAGCATGTTACTGCTTAATTGCACTGCACCGTAAAGTTTTACGGCAAAACAAAATTTCTACTTTAGTTTATTAAAATCATATTACCAAACAGCGCTAACAAGGCAAATACTCAGAAGGTCGTTGCAAAAGATTGCAAAAACAAATTCTTATTTGTTTTCTTTTAGTTTGTGTGTAATTATGCGAGCAAAATGTCTGAAATTGATGTTATTGTAACAATATTGCCCATGTTTTTTTGTTTGTGTAATTTGGCGAAACATAAAGAAGATTGATTAGACAAGTTCACCTGCCGAAGTTGTGCCTTGAGCGTAAATCGGTGCGAAAGTTTTCATCTTTTTGACCATTCGCTTTGCCGATTTGCCAAAACCTCCACAGATTCTTTTGTTGGTTTTAATTTGTTTATGTAAATTTATGTCTCAATTGTTGTAAACAAAATGAGACCATATTTTTTTAACGTTGAAATTGTTTATATTTTATCAATTCGCGGAAAATTTCTACACAATTTTTTTATTAAATCCTCTGCTGTAATACTAAACCGTTACGTTGGACATGCGATTGCGCCAATTTTTGAGAGTCGCCTCCGAGCGAATATTTCCATTTTAGAAATATAATCCATCGCATGTATTCGTATTGACATTCTGCTGTTCAGGGGCGACATCAGCTGAAAAAAAGTATATAATTTTTTTTTTAAACTCAATCAAAATACTGTCAAATGAATAAAAAAAATTACTTCCATTTTAAATCCGCATATTATTTTTTTCTTTTTCACTTACAGAGCTGTGAAATTCACATCGAAATTATTTGGCCGTGCATTGTCAAAACGTATTAAGGCGACTGTTTTATATGCAACCGAAACGGGCAAATCTGAGCAATATGCAAAACAGCTGTGTGAATTATTAGGACATGCGTTCAATGCACAGGTGAGTGATTTCTCTATGAGAAAATATTATAACCAAAGCGAGGCAGAAAATGTTACATTGAAATATAACCATTGAAGTGTTGTTGTGCTCTAAAATGCCAGTAGTATCCCCGGTAAAGTCTGTCAAACTAAACTGTATAAAAAATCTGTTGAGCTGCAGGAAAAATAACATAGAGAGGCACTCCTCGTGGAGGTTTTTTATCATCACTTCTCTGACTAGCGACTGAGCTTTTGGGAGGTGCTCAAAATTATAGTCTATGCGGCCGCAATAACTCTAGTTGTTACAGGAAGATTATAAGGTAATATGAGTAACGTATTGGAAGCGCTCTAAGTGCCGTACCTTGTTGAGCGACATCAGCCAAATTGGTTTTAAATGCTGACGGTACTGTTTAAAAGTAGGTACAATATCACAGCGGGGAAAGCAGCGGAGACTCAACACGAGGTGGAGCTATCAATCAAGGATCACACCAGGCACCTGAGAATAATTTTGGCCAGCAAATTATGTGGAAGCTGACTTTTGAGAAAGGGTGAAAATGGTCAGTTGTGCGTCTTACTCATGTAAGAATATGTTGGTCTCATGAATCGGTGTTACACAAGCCGATTGAATTTTGCTTTAGAAATTCAAACTTACTGTTTTATGAAGACTACCTAACGACGTTTTTCTGTTATTTTTATTTTGCTGGAGTATGCTAGCTTAATTTGGAATTCAATTTATTCTACGCATCCCTATAGACTTGAAACCGTCCAACGTAGGTTTTATTCGTTTTCCTCTTGCTCTGCTTCATTTCTCTGATCCCCTACGTTCTTATGTTGTTGTCGATGTTTGCTAATAAATCACAAATCTCTTGTTTTTCGACGTTCTATCCAGTCATTACTATTTATTTATGACATCATCAATGGCTTAGTGAACTATCCAGAGCTGCTTAAGCAAATCAGCTTTGATGTTCATCACAGAACTTTGCGCTCTCATTATCCGTTCTATTTAGATGTAATTTAAGCCAATTATCATAATTACGATCCTATTGTTAGAGCCCTCTCTGAAATTAATGTAATCCCTAGAAGCGATCCTTAAAGCGTAGTTTTCGTTATTAATTTGTACATCTCGTCTATAAGATTTATGAATCGTTGACTGAATAAATGAATTGAATTGAACTACTCTACGGAACTCTGTGTCGATGGACTATTGCTAGCGAAATCTCCCAAAGTAAATCATAGAGCGATAACAGCGGCTCTCTGCATTGTGCATAATAGAGGCGCTAAGGGGAACTCCGATTGTGGCGCTTGAAAAGTTACTGCACCGAACACCAAACGCTATTGTAGAATGAAGAGTGATTTCTCCGCTAAAATGTTCGAGCACAGCGCGGTATGTGCGGGGTAAGCATGTTTCAAGCTTCGTTTAAGGAGAGTGGATGGCGCAGGAGCGTGGGACGCGCTAGTAGAAGGTAACTATAGCACCTATGACGTCGGAGTCTATTGCGCACAGCTAAATTTCAGATAGTCCTCCAAGTTTCCAGAGTACTACAAGAGTTTTCAAGCGAAGGTCTTTGCTGCTTATATAACAACTAACGCAGAAAATCTTCTTAGATTCTAGAAAGCAGCAGAGAGGGCTATCTCGGGGGAACGGCTGCATATACATAAACTGGGTTATAGGCCATAATTACATTATGAGCAACGAAATAGGTAATGAGGGTGCCAGAAGCGCCTTCCGACTTCTAGTAGAAGTGGCTAATATTGATCTATCATGAAATCTCCGAAAGAGCTGTATGACTCATGTGATGGAACGCATTAGCGACATGTGAAATCACCAAGATCTTGTGCAATAGCGGTAAAGAGACTGAATAATAGTTGTTGGCCAAATGACAAGCCAAGCCACAACCTACTTTTTATCCCTGCATTAGTAGTAGGAGGTGTAGTGCGGAATGCATGAGTGTGGCGCTGGAACATCTTCTCTGTTTTTTGTTCGGCTTGGTTACAACTCGTTTTATATATCTCAAAGCTATGAGTATAAAGCACTAGTGGAGGCTTCACAACTGTGTAGACGTCCCATACCATGGCTACTTTAGATAACAATAAAACAGATCTCCACATGAAACCTTCAAAAAACCAATGATCCTATTTGACACGCTTCAGCCGGCCAGTGTAACTTGACTTAAATGCTGGAAAGCGTAGTTAATTTCATCACTATTTGGCACAGCCACAATTATAAAGTCATCCCCTGTTTTCCGTAAAACTTAAATAAAAGAAGCTGACAGATATATTAAAGTGTTGATCACAGCTCTATTCTCTTAAGGTTTGATGAGTGATACATCATTAAGATGAAAAAATTTAAGAATAAAGTTTCACAATTATCTCGCATCCAGTTGGGAACTTTCTACGGGGTATAGTGTTTCATTGAATTTTTCGAAATGTCTGTACATTACTTTGCTTTAAAACAAACCAAGATTAATGACAAAAATTGTTTTAACATTTTTTATTTCAAAATCCTTCTTCAGGCTCACTTTCCGTTTTAATTCTTTGACTATTTCAACTTATTTAATCGTATTTCGATTCGTTACAGATCTACTGCATGTCCGACTATGACATATCATCTATTGAGCATGAAGCATTGCTGATTGTTGTAGCATCAACATTTGGCAATGGCGATCCGCCAGAGAATGGAGAGGTGAGTGAGATTATTAACTTAAAAATCAAAGACAGGCTACAATTAGTATTTTGATGATTGCTCCGTTTTGTTTAATATATAGCAAAAATTATTATTTGGCATTGGCATTTGGGGAATGTTGTTATTTAATATTTGGTTATTTGTTTTTAAAACTAGCTATTTTGGTTTTGTTGGTTTTGATTCATTTAGGCACTTATAATATTCTATTTTAAACCTATACTGTTCTTTGGCCAAACCAGTAGTGACAGTGCGTATACGTAACATTTTTATATTATTGTATAAAGTGAAAAGTTCTGTTTAATTTTTTTTTTTTAATTTAGATATTTTGAAACCTTTCGATTAAGTGATAGGCAAGTGTAAAAAATGATATATTAAGTTTGGTCCAAAGTATGTAAGTACTAGAAGGAGGAGCGATAGATCTATCAAAATATATTCCGATCGTGTAAGAATGACGAGTTGGGTTGATTTAGCCATGTCCGTTCGCACTTTTGTTTGTATGCAAATTATTCCCTCAGTTTTAGAGATGTAGAGCATGATACACAGATGCACTGATGCATTTAAACGATAATTTGTTGGAACTGACTAGATCGGTTGGTTGCTAATGGTTGCTAAACCATATATACGACCAATTTTTCAGATTTGAAATTTTGGATCATAAATGTGTCCAAAAAGTATCTAAGAGGGTAAACTTTAGTATTAACCACATAAATAATGATTTAAACATTGTCACCGAAAACCATCAAAATCGTAAAATTTAATTCATATTTGAACTCCAAAAAATATTGAATCTAAAATGAAGTACCATAAAATTATATTGCCATGAAAGACAGTTTTTTTTGGTATTTGAATTATTTTACTTCTAATCTTTTATGTTTTCTATTTTTTAATATTAAATTTAATTTATTTTTTGTCTACTTACAGCTTTTCTCACAGGAATTATATGCAATGCGTGTGCAAGAGGGCAGCGGTGATGGCCAGGATTCCAGGTAAGTTTGATCAAGAATTTTGCTTTGAGTAAAAAACCCTAAGATTTCCATAAGACAATTAAATTTATGAATGGTATATTAATACGAATATGTAACTTTATTTATTTCAATACTTTATTTCTCTTCGTTTGCTTTAGTACAATATTACTTATTTATTCTCTCTCCCTCAATGTTTTTAAGTTATAATCCGTATATCATGAGCTTGAGAGAATTTCTTGCGTTTGGAATCACGGTTGTTCAATACAACGTGAAGCTTATGTCTACATATACACAAATTAACGAAGGTGTATTTATCAAATGGGATTGAAAGCGCTTAGCTCACACTTCACTGCCTTTTTACGTTGATTGACATATGGACTTTCAACAATTTTTGACAAACATTTTAAGTCACTTTAATTATTACATAAAATGATGTCTGTTTTAGTAAAAAAAAATTCCATGTAAGGAACTTATATATACATATATATATTTATTATGCATATGTAAAAGGAATTTCTTTGCTTTAATTTTTTGCTTGAGTGCATCTATAAATTATAGTTATCAAAAATATAAATTTAACGCTTTCAATAGGATAAATATTGGTTAAGGACTAGCTTAGTTTCAATGTACACTCTCGAGCTGTAAAATAGCATTACTTACAATTAAGATTTATATCCTGAAAGTAACAGAAGGCTAATTTAATGATCACAAATAAAATAAAATAAAATAAAATAAAATAAAATAAAATAAAATAAAATAAAATAAAATAAAATAAAATAAAATAAAATAAAATAAAATAAAATAAATTAAAATAAAATAAAATAAAATAAAATAAAATAAAATAAAATAAAATAAAATAAAATAAAATAAAATAAAATAAAATCAAATAAAATAAAATAAAATAAAATAAAATAAAATAAAATAAAATAAAGTAAAATAAAATAAAATAAAATAAAATAAAATAATATTATATAAAAAAATGGAATAAATTATTAAAAAAATTAATTAAAAGCAAATAAAAAAACATAAAAAAATTGAATTCAATTAAACTAAAATCGTACGCCTTGGTAAAAAGAATAAAATAGAATTACATTGAAAGACCAATCAACTATAAAATAAAAAATTTTCGAATATATATCACCCAATTATTTTTCATTTCTAAGCTAAAAATTAATTTTTAATTTCACTCAATACTTGGAAATATGTATTCGTGCTTATAATATAGGCATTGCTTATTGAGTTGACGCAAATTTAATTTCATTTGTAAGAGTATACACATGTATGTGTATTCAAAGTTGTATGTGCTGACTTCCATGCATTCTTATGTGCGAGTAAATATTTGTAGCTTCTCCACTTGCTGGTTTTGTATACCAAAATTTTTTGGTGAAAATTTCATAATGTCAAATAAATAATGCCAGTATAACTTGCTGGCAGTTTTTTGAAAGAAATATTTACATCGCTCCAGAGGAAAAATGCTTACTTAATTTTTGTTCTAATTCCAGTTAGTTGGATTTAGATTCGTACCACTGATACATACCGAGTAGTTCATTCTGTGCTTAAAACGAATTCCGTTTTATGTTGAAAAATTGTGCAAACCTAGTTATCTTTAATTTAGGATAAACTTGTTATTCTTCGAAATCATAAGCGTTTATTGCAGCTTTGATTTTGGTTAACAAAGGGTCAGGGAATTTGGATGTTTTTTTTTTCAACATACATCCATAAATATATACATTCCTAACCTCAAAGGAGTCTCTCCAAACGGCAAACATAAATCTATCCTTAGTTACTTCACTAACGGTAGAATAAATTTGTTACTCAATTTAATATACGTTTTTCGCTTTCTCATCTAACTGTTAAAGGTAAACCTGTTATGCCAAGTACTAACTTATTCCACCTTACCGTCTATTTACCGCAAAGCAAAACCATTTAAGCGGTAAACTTGTACGCAATGATTTGGTAAAGTTGAGAAAAGTTCATGAAATTATGTTCAGTGAATGTGCAACGTTTTGTGCCAGTTAAAGCGACACATTTGTATTTATGCTGCCACATCCAGTTGCCATTTTTTATGAGTTGAATGGAAAAAAAAATGAAATCTCATTCTACGCAATTGTTAAACTTTTCAATTGGTTGCGCGTGTGATTACATTTTCGGGCTGTTGCTTTTATAAGTATATCGTAAAAGGGTGAAGAAAAAAGTATATAGTACATTATGCGTCACATAAGTTAAGCAGTGGCAGTGGCGGCCGCGGTAGACGAGTGGTTAGCATTGCGTACTGACATTCGGAAGGTTCAGGTTCAAATCCCGGTGCCACCAACAACCAAAAGTTTTAGAAAACTAATTTCAAAAAAAAAAAAAAAAAATTTAGCTAAATTTTCTAATTGCGGTCGCCCCTCGGCAGGGAATGTCCACCCCTCCGAGTGTATTTCGGATATGAAATAATGCTCCTCATAAAAAACCATCAGCCGTTGGGAGGCGGCTATGTCCGGACTATAAGGTGTATGCATAAGAGCTTCCCAGCCAAGCTCTCAAAGTTTCTGGCGAGTCACTATCTAAATGTGTGTTTTTCCGTTGTCCTGATGATAAACAATTCGCCTCCTGTTACGGTTTAATTGCTGACAGTTAAGGGTCAAACTGAGAGTTTGAAAGTAGGGAAGTAGCTCATACTGGATGATTTATTGCCAATCCCATCAATCACACAAAAAGCATTTCTAGCCGACAATCCTGTCTTGGAGACCGTTTGTACCGGCTGTCAGTTTTCGTTTGACATTGTTGGAAGTCATCCACTTTCCATCAAAAGACACCATCAAAAGACGGGTCGATTTTTATTACGTTTGAGCAGCGATTCGCAGATAGAAATTCGGTTCATGAAGTTTTTTCTCGTTAACTCATGTAACATCCATACCTCGAGCTTCTTTGCGTATCCAGCCCTTTTCAAGCCATTTTAAACTGTTATTTATGCTATGTAATAGTGCCGGTATGTTGGTCAGTTTTAACGATAACCATTATTTTATCGACATTTTCGAAAATTGGCCTTCCAAACCGTGGAGCATCTTTTACACCGAAATATTCCGGAATGAAATCAATGTAACCGAAATTGTGCAAGATTGTCTGATTTGCGTTGCCGCCTTAATCGAAGAAAAATTGTGGACTTTCTCTTTGCCAGCGCCCATCAAATACTACTGAGTTAGGCGACTAAACGCTTTTCCCATTATTTTTTTTTTGTTTCGAAATATCATCTTTCCATATCCTTCTATCGTAGTCCTATTGTAATTATGGAACGCAAGTTACGAACCACTAAAACCAACTGTTGCAAATAGAGACACTTTTTAATACGGTATACGAGGAAGAGTCACACATGAGAGTAATTTTTAGTTCAGTTTATGCCATTTAGTATGTCGCACCTCTTTGCTTTGAAAACGGTTGCCCAGAATCAATCACTCTTCCTCTATAACATTGAGTTTCCATGTCAACTTGCAATTTTTCTCTATTAGTTTCGTAATAATTAAATGATTTTCCACTTTCGCAAAAGTTTTACTTCAATTTCGCATTCCACCCTTTTTCTGTACAATGACTTTTAGTTCTATATTTAATGTTAATGGACTTTTTCACTTTTCTACCGCATTGTTAATCGGGAATTCAAGTGTATTTGCCGCTTTCTTCTTCTTATTCTAGCTAAAAAAAAGTTTTTGAAGCACTTTTACTTTTTCGGCAAGTTTTTCACTTTGAAAGCTTTGGCTTGCGCGATTTTTACCCTTTAAAGGAACCGATTTTCATGATATCTTTATCAGATGAAAGGTGAATGGAAGGAGCTGTGCACATTAATGGGGAGATTATATTTTTTTCATCTTGGCACAGGTGAAATTCTGGAAGAGTTTTATTTATCCCTCTTCAAAGATATAAACATCTTTGTTTTCTTGCTCTTTTCCTAGGGTCTCCGAAAAAAGCCGGCAGATTAAAGAAAAATTGTCGGTTTTTTCTTGGCTCCCAGGAAAGGTTGTAGGTAAAAAACGAAACACTTTCAGATTTTTATAGACTTGTTTGGCTAGCAATGGGTTGGGCTTATAATATTTGGCAAGTGACCTTAGTGATATATTCGGGATCTCCTAGTATTTTCTGTTTACATGAATAAACCTCGAATTTGAAGCCTTTTGTATCATCTCATAATTTTGGAAGTATCTCCTGCCCGTCTGTTTCTCAAGCCCTTCGGCCACACCCTATTTAAATCGCAACAATATTGATTCGGTGGCCGCGGTAGCCTAGTGGTTAGCATTGCATAGGCTCGGGCACAAAATCTAGTGTCATAAGTTTTTTTTCAAGTAACTTTTTTTAATTAAGTTAAATTTTCCAATTGCGGCACCTAGGCAGGGAATGTCAACCCCTTCGAGTATACTTCTGATATAAAATAAAGCTCCTCACAAAAAAAAAAAAACATCAGCCGTTCAGAGGTGGCTTAGTATTTGCTGGAAAAACATCAAAACTCAAAACCACAAATTGGACTGAGACCCCAGCCGAAAATCGCTTCAGTGGTTACAAAGCGCCAATTAATTGATACTTTGGATCTCTCTGAAAACCAAGAGTTTCACTGGTGGCGGTGTATAGGGTCGCTGAATCGACGCCATGCTCTACATGAGGTTAAAATTATGTCAATTGATTTTGACGCCAAGGCAGCGACACCGCAGACCCTCATGAGTCCTATCTCACAACAGCACAAGGGTTGTTCTGGCGGGGAGAAGTTCCAGAGGTAAAAACTTATCACACAAATTTATCAGCCGTTGGGTTCAAAGTCCGACGCAGAGCAATACAAAGACGTCTACGAAAAAAAGATGAAAGCACATCGGCGGACTGGAACCTAAATGGGCTATGTCCTTAAAATCTTGCAAAAGAACCTGGAAAAAATTGTCGACACGCACCACCTATTCGTCTGTTTTAAAGCAGCGCGAAACGGAGCTGCCTCTACGCCGCCATGTCTGAATTTGGTATCCCCGCAAAGCTTATATGGCGGTGTAAACTGACCTTAAGCA